GTATTTTACCTCTGAAAGTCCAAAATAATTATTTTCTACCTGAGTTTTACTCTTCAGTCACTCTTACCTGAGTACGACTTACATGAGATTCAGGTTCATCTTGTTTACTTTGACCATAATGATATCAAAAAATCAGCCYAATCTGCATGAAACCTGCACGGCCTGTACCTACGTCTCCTTGTCACCACAGAAAGTCCTGAAATCAGACCAATGTGATTGTACAAGGTGAAAATGTGGTTAGAGCTGTTATGAGAAAGTGGCAGGATCGCCTCATGACCTGGAGCCTTTCTGGGTAAATCTAAACTGTCTTTAAGCGTGGGGTGAGAGAGTGTTTGTCTCTTTGTGTCTCTAAAACAACCATTTTTTTTCTTTTTCTTTGTTTTACAACATTGACCTTTAAATTAGAACAGACCGCAGACAGCTGCCTGCCGGGCAGAAGGAGAGAGGAGCAGCAGCTGGCTCAGGAAGCTCGTCACCTCACTCCTCTCCTCTATCAACAATTCTCCATTTTCTTTATGAAATATCCAACAAACAGAAGCCTAATTAATGGCTTGTGCTGACTGAGTGGCCTTGTTCATTGGTGTAAATGTTTTCTTGTTGCTAGGGGCCTGGACTGAAATCTAATAAGGCGGAGACATGGGGGCCAAAGGGAACAGGTCCAGAGCTGGGGACAAATGAGACACAGACACACGATCACGTAATAATCCTACTGAGCGTCAACAAAAAGGAGCGTTATTGAAACCCTGGAAGAGTCAGGATTACTTCTGCGCACAGGAGGTTAAATATGAAAAGTGAAGCAGAGGCATGGTCCAACTTGGAATATTTCATTTTGATTGTTGCTTTTTTTCCCCTCTCGCTCAGTCCTGGATGAGGTCTCGAAAACAAGTCAAGAACATTACCGGTACAAAGCAGAACACAACGAGCATCCAGATGTTTCTAAAGGAACTAGTCCTGCCYTCAGAGGTTAGGTGAATTTTCTTTAATTGCACAATCCTGATTGTGAAACTAAGGAAAAATGCATTGATTATAATTAAGTTTCAGCTAAGAACTGAAACCACAGAATTCTTCTCTCATTTCTTTGCTCCAGAGCTGTCAGTGCAGTTCAAAGACTTATTATTTGGGTTGAAATGTTTTAACTTGTACACTTTATTTGAACTAATTCTATCCATCCATTATCTTAACCAGCTTCTTCCATTCAGGGTCACGGGAGTCACTACTCAGACAATTTAGAGTAAGGAGAGGAAACTGGCACRCCTGGAGAAAACCCATGCATGCACAGAAAGAATATGCAAACTCTACCCAGAAAGGCCAGGATTTGATCCAGCAACCTTCTTGCTGAAGGCAACTGCTCTACGAACCAACCCACTGTGCCGCCCTATCTGAACTAATGGTTGAATCATTTTTTTTACTGACTTCTCACGGGCTCAGCTTGGCTAGGCAATAAGAAAAGTGTGTTTTGAGGAAAATAGGTTGGGAAACACTGCCCTAGAATCACAAAAACTAAACAGAAATGGGACAAAGAGGAGTTTTGAGATGCCAGCTCTGCTGCTTTTTTGATAGAGCTTTGAAGAGACTTTGAAAAAACTACAGGACACAGCTGCGTGTTCTTGTGACTGAAAACATCCAAGAACATTTCCAGACATTTTGGAAACTCCCCTCTAAATGCTGTTGCAAGTTTAATGAGACACTGACCACAGTTTCCTCAACTGTTGGGTTTTTTTTTTTTTTTTTTTTTTTGTGTGGAAACAACTCTCTCTAATCAACTGCTATTTAAAATCAGCTGTAAAGACAATATTAAAATACATTCTGTGTTCTTATCATTTCTCAAAAACATATCAATAATGGCCTTAGGAAATCCTATCAGCTTGTAAAAAAAGTAGTGTAAAATTTCTTTTTTAAAAATAAATGTTCTCAGAATAAACAATCACCTCTGCTTTTGATTAAGAACTAGCTGGACAGCAACCATTTCTCACTTCCATTTGTTTAATTCATCTAACAGCAGGAGCAGCAACTTTTCAAACAGACATGAAACCAAACGCGCCGTGCCTTCATCATCATCCTCATCACCGTCTCCTCATCACATTACCACCCGCGACTTGTGCTTCTGTTCCATCGTGCCACCTTGCCTCTTATGGTGCTCTGAGCAGACCTCAAGCTCTGCAGAAAGGGGAAACAAATCACAAGCCGTTCTACTCGAGCCGTGGGGCCAAAACTGATGGCATGTCGGTCTCTGGCTAAACAGGAGTGCAGTAATATATCAGTGWGTGGTTAAAGAGCTGAGTACAGGCAGGCCCAGATGAGCACGTTAAAAATATAAAACGCAAAAAAACCGACACCACAGTTTACACGTTTTATTGGCAGACAGCTGCGTAGCGTGTTGTACATGTGCAAACAAATTTATCTGTTACAACATAACGTCCTGTAGTTATGAAGTTGTGTCCAGTACTTCTCCATTATTTAGCTCACTTTCTGCATGTAAAATCCTGGTTAAAAAAATTTCAGCTAATATTTTATTGTTGTTTAGCTCCCTGTTTTTGCATTTTGCTTTTTTTTTTTTTTACTAAATGTTATATATTAAATCCTAAACCTAAACACAGCCTTTGCTGTTGGTGTGCGCTTCTGTTGTGAAGTCATCATCATGCGACAAAAGCACCCTCTGAAGCTGCTAACTCTGCTAACAATGCTAACTCTGCTAATGCTGCTGAAGATGGCATTTAAACTTTAAATTCAAAATGTGTTTATTGAAAACAATATGGCACCTGTAGCCCGGCACTTTTAAGTGCAACTCACTCGCGACGAGTTTGATGTCTTGTAGGGAAGCATTAGCAGGGTTAGCATTTGCTTTTGTTGTACGCTGATGTCAAAACAAAATCTGTACACAAACTGCAAAGGCATTCCATTCTAAAACACTTAAATGTAAACTTACGTGTAAACATTTAGTCACAACTTTTACATTTAYACATAAATCTTAAATTTAARYTTTAGTAACACTTAGCAAAATGTAAGAACAGAGAGCTAAATAATAAATTGTTAGTGTTATTTGTTTAAACTAGGATTTTACACTCAGAAAGTGAAAAAATAATAAAAAAAGAATAAAGAATAAAGAATAAAAATATTTTATATACTGTATGTTATATTTTATTACGTGACATAATTTAAAWTTTTATTTTACACATGGCACTCCATATTATTCAACAGATGATCAGATATATTTGAAAACGTGGATTTTGTCTCAAAGTTAGCTTTCTTCTTTGACTTTTAGATGTCATTACTTTATTTCCTGAAGCAACTCTTTGTCAGTAAAATGATAGAAAGCAGCAATAATCTGGCAGACATCCGYCCCGATATGTACCTGGTACTTTTCAAAGAAAACCCATATCTCCATAGGCAACGTTTACCTAAACAACCTGAGGCTTGAATCAGAAACCTTCTTGCCATCCTAACCATGTCTCCTCTGCAATGATAAAAGAAACAACCAGTTTCATTTAGTGTCTTTCTGCAGAAAGCAACATGTAGCTGTGTGAAACTGTTCTGTGGTGCATTTTGATACCTCCAAGTTGTGATACAGTATGTAGCACTCTGCAATGGTCTTTGTCTTCTATGTTTARATTTTTAGACATCGTGTAATATTATAAGTCAGAGGTCCAGTCGGTTCCAAATTCTTCCTGCACCAGGACCGCTCTGCAGTCTCCTTTGTACTCTGTGATAATGGATCCATCAGCAGTTTTACAGCACCTGCTTTTTAATGTTTTTTACATCAAGACAGATAAAAACAATTACAGAAGCTTCTCTTCAGCTGCCTGATGGCYCCGACCTCTGCTCCAGATGCTTTCTTTTAAGGTTAGGAGCATTTGTGTCAGAGCGTAGGGGGGAATTTCGACGCTCTAACATAGGCAGGAAGTTAGCAAAGTTGCAGTTTCTGTCATTTCGGTAAACATAAAGAAGACGAATGAGTGGGAGTTCACTTACGTACTTCTGATTTTTTTTAGTCACGTTTCTGGTCCTTTTTCTTCAAAAAAAAAGTTTGCGCAGTCATTTTTTTACAGATAAAAGCTTCGTAACATGTAGCTGGTAACTGACACCAGTTGTGTTGCWTGAATCAAAAAGCTGCTAGATGACATCAGACACTTTAAAAACAGCCTATGGTTTCTCTGCAGATAAGCTTCAACAAGGGATTTAGACCYTCTGCAAGTCCATTAGAGCATTTCCTTTTTGAAGATGACCTCGATGATGCAGCTGTTAGACCGTTTCCTGAAGAAATAGGTTTTATGGAGGAGACTGCCTGAATTATTGAATTATAAAGCTAAATTTTGTTCTGTCTGTYAAGACACAACTCAGGAAGTAACATTTGTTGTGTAATGTCTCGTCTTTTCCTTATGAAAACAAACAATAAATTTAAATGAATAACACTTTCTGAGCACTTCAGTCATCATTTTGTTKTGAAGTAAATCAGATTAAAGAACGGCGGTCTGAACTGTCACACACGTGTGCAATGAAAAGCTGTAGGAGTTGCTGATAAGGACCGTAATGAAATCTCCAGAGCAGCACAGATGAAGAAGTGGAAGTCAGAGTGAAATTGGTAAAACCCAACTTTTTATGTGGATGTGCCAATATATCAAGAAAAGAAAAAAAAAACACAA